TAAAGCATCGTACTATATACTAAATACTACTTTATTCTTATTGCACTTTTTAATATATTGTACCTTAGAAAGTTGTAAAATTTATAGAGAATCGTTAAGAGGGAAATATTTTGAAAATATTTTATATCGAGATTCTCGTTACAGCATTTTATATATTCAATGAAACTATTTTAAGATTTCAATAACGTTAACTATTTGGTGAAATTTTTATCAGCAATAAAAACTTTTCACATCGTCAAACTTGACATACATACTTACACATATATATATATATATCTTATATATATATATATATATATCAAGTTCATTATGGTTTATACACATGAACAAACACTTATATAATCGTTTGTTTTGCATTGAATGCAAGAAAATATGATAAAATAAAGCTATTCAACTAAATTGATGAAATTCTTGTGTTCATAAGATTATTGGATTTATGCTGTGGCCTTGTTCGCATGCTTAGTGGGTTGCTACCACTTAACCCCTATAGTTACAAATAATAATATTCTGCCGGAAATTAATAGATAACAACTCATTCTGCCTTAAAATATAAATATTTGTGCCTCTCTGTACCGTATATGTGCGTGTTTTTATGTTTGTTCACATATTATAATAACATAATCGTTCAGTCATATACTGTACGTCCGTACAGTATATATGCTTGCTTAGACTCTGTACAGTTAATGATTATAAGTTAACTAAAATATATGTAAACATATGTACACATATGTACATATATTTACATCATATCTTTTTATGGCATGTGGGCATCAAATAAATGAACAAAAATTAAGTTCATAATCATTCGACTTAATATTCTACATTACAATACATACGCACGCACACGCAAACACACACACACACACACACACACACACACACACACAGATAACCATATGCAGAAAGAAAAAGATTGAGAGAAAATATTGAATCCATCTTATAATATAAAAATGCATATGAATATGCTCTGAAGCATGCTAATGTATAAGCATTATAACTAAAGTCTTAACTTGATATCAATGTTGTCTCTTGACGGTTGTTATGAGAAGAAAATAACATTATTGAATGTCATATCGTATAGAGTTTTTAACTGATTTTAAGCTTCAAAGGTGAAAAAGAAAATCTCATTTTGAAAATAGCTTTGATGCTTCTCTTGTCATCTATCTAAATGAAATTTGCCATAAATATTTATAAATTTGCATATATTGAATTAGGTGAGATGTATATTATTCGTTGAACTTATATCTGCTCAGATTTAATTTGTTAGCATTCATTTCCAACCACCTCCCCCCCCCCCTCCCCTCCCCACCCAAAAAAAGAAAAACCAAAGAAACGGATACCACTGTAAGGAAATTAAGTAAGAAATTTAGGAATATCGTAAAATAAAAGTAAAATCGTACTTATCGTAGTACAGTTACAGTAAATGTTTGCCCAAACAACTCCACGTTCTGCCGTTGGTTGTTACAAAATCTATGATTGCAACAAATGCGGCATCAAATTGCGAGTTAGCATACCCAAGCTTAACACATTTCAATTGCTCAAGTGGATGTGATCCGCTTACAAGCAAAAGCGGTTAATAAAAAACATATTCTGAGCCTTATACCTGAGGCTAGGGTACAATTTTTTGCATATATTTCTCAAAGCGATAATAAGGTTTCATATTATTTATGTACAGGTTAATAGCGATGAATATTAGAGATTTGCCTTAAAGCGGATACAATTTATTTATTTATTTATTTTTTTTTTTTGAAAACATCTGCACTCACATTTTGGTTTACTTAATTGTTGACAAGCGCACGAGTAAGTGTTGGTACCCGATGTTCGATTTCTTATTTATTATATTACTTTACTTTACTTTATGGATAATATAATTTTATAATAGGCCGTAAAGCTTATAGCGTAAGTAATTCCTCATTGACTTTGATAGTAAATTAAATAACTATGTCGCCAAGCAAGATTATTCTGCTCATTTTACTGGGTCATTACGCACTTCTGATCTAAAGGATTAACATCGAAAACAAAAATAAAAAATTTTCTTTTTGGTTAAGAGAAATTGTAAAAAATTGCATTTATACTTTATTTTCGCATACTAAGTGGATTAAGTGTATTTAGATATCGTTAAGCGAATATCTAAACACTTTCTGAACTGCAACTGTAATCTGGCATGGATGGCAGGGATGAAAGAGTGCATCACAGTCGAGTTATTTCATAGTTTTTTCGAACGATCAATAATTTCATACCCATACTTTCATACATATACTTTAAAAAAAAAAAAAGAAGGAAATTATTATGTACTTTAGGGGGTTTTGCTTGACTAGAACTAAACTGTGCCTGCACTTAATTACCTTTCAAGACTCTTTAAGCAATCATTTCTTCCTGCAAATAAGTTTCTATGGATGAATACGGTATTGATTTTATCAATCGAACATACACACTTAGAAACTGTAATAGAGTTCATGAAGTCTTTTACATCTTTCCGATCTTTAACAGGCAAGAAGATAAAACGAAATGTATTTTGCAATATTATGTTCCACATATTCAAAGCATTTTTTAAAGCTCTGAGCATAGTTTAATGAATACGTATTTTCTGTTTAACGGTTTATTGTCAATTGTCAACGTGTAAACTCTTGAAATTATATCGTGCTTTTTACTTGGAAGCTAATAAAATTTTATGGCCGTTTAGCTTTTAGCAGCAGAAATGAACTAAATTTACAGAAAATTTTCATGCAAATTTTTGCATGCCTTAAAGACTAAATCTATTATATGAAGGAAAGAGCTCGCCACGAAGATTCCATTTAAACTTCTGTTCTAAGTTAAAATGTCTCCCGATTTTAGATGTAAACTTTTATTTTTTTATTTCATCCCTAATAACGAATTTTTCTTTGGCTTGGATTAGGACATAATGAAAAGAAAGTCAAGTGTGATACAAAAGTGCATGTATGTGTACTCGTACGTGAGGCTTGCCATCAGCAAAATATAAAAATTTTATTTATATGAAAAACTTTTCATTAATAAGGTAAAACAAGCCTAGGATAAAGGGCACTTTTTTTGCACGGTCTTTTTTTACCCGATTTTGAAATAACACTAGTCATCAATAAGCAAATATACACTCTTTTACACGAATTTTGTTTTCTCTAAGACGATTCGACAAAGAACATTTTTTTAATTTGAATTTTGACAAAGTCTTATAGGACACAATTGTGGGAATACAGTCATCAGAAGTCGGTCGGCTTATGCCCACATATGTGTTAGTGAATGATTGTTCTGCTATGGCGAACAGACGATTCTTTTGATTACTCTTGTCTTTATATCGTGATACCTCAACTTGAACGCAGCGTTCCGTTATTCGTATTATTATAGTTTGTTATAAAATGTTCAGTGCATAGAAATCAAACCGGACAGTGGCACTAGACATATCTGATATATCTTTTAATGAACGCACTGTCGGTCTTGTCCATAGTAAAGATGCACGCTTGTCATCAAGTAGCGATGAATACTTGCGAAATTGATCTCTATTCCCAATTTCAAGGTCAAACTTGATATGTTGAACTTATGGGCTAAATTTTCACATTTTTTTTTTTTTTTTATTTGCCTTGTCTTTAGAAATATGTAGCATGAATTTACTTACATTACTTACATTACTTTTTTGCACGGTTCCTTGGGAAAATATTTAGAGTTTTCTCATCTTACATCGTTCTATAAAGTTATGAAACATATCCCTAAACTCATCATATGTCATAGGTATATTATTACACGATTTTCTAAGGAACGCATCTACCACGTAAAAAGAGAGTTGGGTGTATTTGGCAATGTTCAACTGGGAGATTTCTAGGCAAAAGTGGACAGTGTCGGCAAAATAAGTTGCAAGAGCTGCAGAATTAAAGTCCTGACGACCAATTTATTCCGCGCAAAGTATTTCTTCCGTTTCTTCTATTCTTTCTGATGCCATCATAAGAAAGGTGCCCTGTTCAGCGCTCAAGTAAAAATCGTTACCTGTCGTGCCACAACAAATGCAAAGTAAATGCCAAAAGGATCTCCGAAATCGTAAACGTTCTCCTTAAGCTATCACTTGCATCAATTTTCCTTAAAATGTATTCAGAAGCCGCTCTCGGCACACGAACCTTCTGCAAACATCTGCACGAAACGATATATATCTATTTTTAAGCACTCTGTCCATAAATATATAAACTCACTTACATTTTCGGGTAAAGTAAGAAGATTTGGAGCATTTGGCAAAGCCTTTCCTCGTCTTACAATGTTTATTTTGCGTCCGTCTCGATGCTTCCTACGACTTTGTGAGGATATAACCGATTTTTGGACGTGAATACTATGCTCCTCCATAAGATAATTTCTGCCTTCTGGATAAGTAATCAACACGAAAAACCACAAATTTTTGCTTAACAAAACAGAGATGCGTTCAGCGTACACTTGACTGTGCACGTGCTACAATTCGATCAAATTGGCCCAGTTTCAATACCAAACCCCATGAAAAACCTTCAAATGTTTTTACCAAATTTTGAAGGTGAAATCTTTATTTTTACGACCAGAAGAGTGTCAACGGTAAGCACGTCGGAAAAATGGACAGACATGCCTGTATCCATTGAGAATTTTATACTGATTAAGAACATATATACATATATGCATATATATGCTTTAAAGAATCGCTGAAGCTTCCTTTCGGTCATTGCAAACATTGTGACAAAATGAGTATAAGATCAACAACATCTAATAATCGCCACGATTCTCATAAGAGATTGCGTGTTCTCTCTCTATCTCGACAATAATTATTTAAAGATATATTTTTAATTACAAAAGTTCATGAAATCAAATTTCAGTTATTACGTTTTAAAGTCCTAACTGTAAATTATTTACAAAAAAATTCTCTCTCTCTCTCTCTCTCTCTCTCTCTCTCTGCTTCTGCAAGCATTATTTATTTTCATTTAAATGTCAAACTAGTTATTGGTAAATAATTCTGTCACATTCATTTAGCCTAATTTGTTTCAAAGCATTTCTCCCAAAGGCCTAATCATAATTTCATGAACTTGTACATCCATTGGCGTTGATAGAGCATATAATATAGCATGAGCAACATCGTCAGGATCTAACATACAATAAGCATGCTTTTGCCTAACTTTTTCATGTATCATCTCCGTATCCACTAAACCCGGACTAATACTCTAAAAGTTTATACAAAACACTATAAAGAAATATTTCGATAAAATAAATTATAATCTTTCCCTTACGGTTATTTTAATTTTGGTTTTCAACGCAGCAAATTCTTGCCTATAAATATCCGTAATCGCTGTTAATGCATATTTTGCCGGTGTATACATATTTGTCATTGGCAGTTTAGGGAGAGCGGTTAACACCTTATGACCATTGATACTATTCATCATAATAATATGGCCATTCACGTCACGTTCTTTCATGGACTTGAAAGCGATTTGAGTACAGCGAACTACACCCATTACATTGGTTTGCAGAATTTTCTCCAGATCTTGGATATCCATGGTACATAACTGTCCGCCCATTAAACAGCCAGCATTGTTAATCAATACATCAATACCGCCAAATTTTTGAAGAATTTCATTAAATGCTCCATCTACCGATGCTGTACAGCTGACATCACAGTGGCTAACGGTCAATTGCTGGCGTTTATCAAATGGCAACTGCGATTTCAGTTCATTCAAACGGTCTATACGCCTTGCCAAACCGATCACTTGAAATCCGGCTTCTATTAAATTTTTGGTTGTAGCTGCTCCAATACCCGAACTAGCACCGGTCACAACGGCCACCTTATTAAGCCAACGTTCCATATTAACAATTTTTTCAATAACCACTAAATGCTTTATACTATTAACTTTGTTTATATACTTTAACCGTCAACACTTACTCTCCATAAAAAAAATAGAATAAAAAAAAAAAAATAAAAATGCATTAGAAAGTAACATATTATAAAACAATTAATGTCCATTAAGTTTGACGATTTATAATTATGCCATTGATGTTTGTATCTGTAAATACAAATCGTATTAAAAAAAAATGTTAAATATATCACGATCTGAAAAAGTGCATTACTTCAGTTTATTAGATCGAAAAATTTATATATTTTTTTTACACTTGATGAAAAAGTTTTCGCGCGAATATGGAAATCTTTAAAGGTAATCGTTAGGCAAAATAACACTGCAAACTGTCCTTCATCATGTAGATCGTTAAGTTTGCTTTGGACAATTACTAAAATATACGAATAGATTATTGAAGAAGAGCGCATTTTTTCGAGTGGTAAGTACGAATCTCTTCTTTCGCAACTGACTGGATTGCGAAAAGGACATAGCACTATACAGCCGCTTGCCAGAATTCATCATTTTGTTAAAACCCAGTTGAAATTTGAAAAAACTACCGAAAAAATTTTCGTATTGAAAGTGTTAAAGTCATACAAAACTTTTGAAGAGCAGTAACTTGAATAGCTATTTGGGCCCCTTTTAGTGCTCAATTGCATTGTAACAAATGCAAAGATCGCGGCTTTCACCTACACTATATAATATTTGTATTGCATATATTCCACAACGCTATGGTCCATTTATACTGATGACTCTGCGATTCTTAGTTCTATTATTCGTCGTTGCGACATATTGACGCCGCGTAACAATTCATGAGCACCAGAAAATTAGAAAATTTTACTTAACGGACCGACAACCAAAGCAGTCTTGTTTATTCGCAAACCTAAACTGCGTTTCACTGAGATTTGCTGATAACGACATTCCTTGCAATTTTTAAGTCAAGTATTAAGGCGTAACATTGGACTCCAAGCTAAAATTTAAATGCCATGTTAGCTTCATTACTCATAAGGTTAAAATTCCCTATTCATTGACTAATAGAAATTCAAATTTAGAGATAGATGATAAACAACAATAGCTTGGTTATGAAAACTATATTTGATTCTTTCATATTTTGTGTGAAACCACGAATTACGCAAGACCCCGTCGTTTATTACACTCTGTCATGTTTGATAAATTATATCCAGCTGCAAGAAAATAGAGAAACATTCAACTTTACGGCGCTTTCTTCAGTTAATGTTTTCTTTTGGATGGAAACTATATTTTCGACAATTAGAATAATAACGTTTATATGAATTGTTAATAACTTTTCACAATTTGTTAAACCTTTTACTATATAATTAAAACATATCTCCTAAAGGTTTTATGATCATATCATGTATTTGAACGTGGGGTGGCGTTGACAACGCATACATTATAGCGTTCGAGATATCATGAGGACTTAGAATGCGATCTTTGGCCAAGCGTTTCACCTGTTCGCCTATTAATTCAGTTTCGACCAA